ATAAATTTAATTTAACAAAATATTATTTAAATTTTATTTAACCGCGCAAAAGCAAAATATAATCAAATTAATGTATGTACTCACCTTTAATTTTTACTGTCTCTCTAACCACGATATTAAACAAAAACTTTTTAAGCTGTTGCGATTTACACGATTACACGTTTAAAATTAAAATAAAAAAAATTATTTCGGTGCGTGCATTTCTATGCTTTGACCACAGACGAGTATTTTCCTGTAAAATCTTCCTCGCGACCGACGTGAAAAATAGCTTAAGACGAGTTAAAACAAGAAACTGTTATACTTGCCACTGGTTGTGGCCTGAATAAGTTGTGTATATAAAATTTGAATTTGAAATATAATTAATAATATTTAGAATAGTACATAAATTCAAATAATATTAGAATAGTAGTATTTAAATGATAATATTTAGAATAATATTTATGTATTATATTAATTTAATGATAAATTAATTTTTCCCTTTTTTTTAAGGCGGCTCGCGCCGCCCCCTAGACTTGCCGCCCGGGTGCCCCGCACCCTCTGCACCCCCGGGTCGGAACGGCCCTGTTCGTGCCAATAACCTGCATCGACTTGTTCGATTATGTTATCAACTCAATTTCATATTTATTTTCACATTTTCACTTGGCGGTCCTTCTCTGTTCTTTTTCCGTTATTTACACGTGTAGATCATTTCGTTGTTATCCACATTTGATATCATCATTTATCATATACTTCCATAACACTTTTGTCTGTCTGCTACAACTGCCAAGAATTAACGCGATTGGAGAAGCGTAGTGACAGGGGGCCAATAGAGAGCAGGATATTTGCCATAATACGGTTTGCGCGCCAATTTTCGTACGTTCGTTAATCAAGCCGAATAGTTTGGCCGAATATTCGGCAATTCGGCCACGCTCCTGGCCGAATATTCGGTATTCGGCCTGAGGCTGAATATACTATTCGTTACAACACTATTAAAAATACAAACGAAAAAAGACAGATTAGACAATTCATTGAATTGTTTGTTTATTTTAATTAAAAATAAGTCACACGAGACACGGGATATTTTTGAATTGTTTCAGTTTCGTGTCATTTAATAAATTGCCGCAAAGGGATTCCAATTTTCAATTTGAAGAAAGAAAATACACAGATTATGAAATATTTGATATATTATTTAAAAAAACGAAATGTTATTTAGTTACAAAGTTGTTTAATCACAAATTTTTGAAATCGCTTAAATTAATGGTCCTATTTATTACGGATGTAAATGTATATAAATACGCGAATAGCAAACATGATTTGTATTGAATCTATATCGGTACAAGAGTTGTTAGTAAATAAATATGAAGAAATTGCAGGTGATTCTTTTGTTGTATTTAATTTGTGTCAGCGGTGAGTGGATTTTATTTCTTTATCTATATTTATATCTTGCGACCGTAATAGCAGAGGCTATCTCTTTTATAGAAATGTTCTTTGGAGTAGAATCATCGCAGAAAACCAGTAGAAGGAAAGGCAGTGGTAAGCAACGCCAGCGCGTTATAATCAAGAATCCTCCTATAAGACCATGTGAACCCAAAGAACTTGTAGGAATTTGCAGATTAGAGTGCATGAGACTGAAACTGAGATATTGTGTAAGAGATTCATTCAAGTGCGAATGTCCCTAGAAAATTTAACACCCTCTTACATAATACACTTCACGATAAACGCATTAGAGAATATAGACGACGTTTCCGATATTTGTCATAGATAAAATGCAATTATGGTTTTATGAGACAAAAATAAAATTTAAAATCTTAACAATTTCGTTTGGTTTGGCACTTACTGCCACTTGCGGTTGACTCAATCGCCTTGGTCATTGCTTATTTGTTTGTTTGTTCAGTTAAGTTACGGCAACGCAACACTTGGGCGATCTAACTAGCAAGGATGTTTTCCGGGAGGTCTTTTTAAGGGTAACTGGCGTTACAGACGTGGAGAAAAGCCGGAAAACTTTACGTTTTCAGCCCGTCCTATCGAGGCGCAAATCCACGATCGAACACCCGGTATTCAAAGAACGAAACCGCTTGGCCGCTGCAGGGCCTTCTCTGCAGGGCCTATCTCTGGCTACTGCAGAACGTAAAATGTGTAGGCACATAGAGCAACGCAATCGTTGCTCTATGTGCCTACACATTTTACGTTGATTCACGCGATGATGATTCACAACGCGATTATTTACGTAAAATGTAAAATGTGCGTACACATTTTACATTTTACGTGAATCATCGCGAAGCCGTCACCCGATGATTGATAGAGCAACGCAATCGTTGGTCTATGAATCATCGGGTGACAGCAACGCGATCGCGATAAATGGAGAGTCAGCAAAACGTTCATTTTAGCACGTATTCTACCGAATGTGAGGTCCCGAATTTTGTCCGAACTGGCTTCCGAATGCAAAAAAACCGAAATTAAAAAATTTTTAACGTTTTAATTATTGTAATTTCGAGTGACTCACGTCTGGAAATAATAACCATACACAACGTTCGAAAAGTAGAACTGTCGCTCAGTGCGCATGCTCTGCGGTGATGACGTTTCGAACGAAACTGTAACGAAGTTCACGAAGAAAAGAGTTAGTTTACTTCGTTAAGAAAATGGCGCCCGACGATATCGATGTTTCTAAATCTACTCGAGTGTTTAAATTGCAAATTAAAAGGTGAAATGATTGAAATAACCGTCCACCCGAAACAATCTAAGAAAAATATTTCGGATAAGGCTGCACTAGCGACCATTCACGTCGTCGATTTTAGAAACATCCAGTTAGTTATAAAGGAATCGTTCGAAAAGTCTAACGAAATAAGAATAACGATGACGTCATTCTCGTTTAACTCGTTCGACTTTACGAACGTACCCTAAATACGACCATCTTAGTTCTCAAAAGACGAAAAAAGTTTTGAAAAAATCGTAAAAAGGTACACCGTTACATGATTATAAATTGATTTTTTTATATATCAAAACAGCGGAAACATTATTTATCGCTAAAAATTTTTCGTTGAAGACAACTGAAAAACGATCTAACGTGCAATTGTTGTAGAAGGCACACCAGTGTCCAAGCAGTTTCATTCCCTGAACAGTAGGAGTTCGGCCGTGTTCACACCTCGTTAGTAGGGGCTAGTCACTTCAAGTTTTCCGTTTTTTCTTCACGTCTCTAACGCCTAAATAGGGACAATTACGCTTAAAAGATGTCCCGGAAGGCATTTCCCCCGCTATTCGCGAGAAATTTCGTATGGTGGAACAAAAAAGCTTTTCGGAGATTAAACGATTACACTATAATCTCCATATCAATCCAGATAAGAGAGAGAGAGAACGAATTGTTGTAGAAATCTCGTTTTTGTCTCTTTTCGATTTGTCTGTATTTAACCGCTTTGTCACCCTGTTACTTCGTTAAGTACCGCAGAACAATCGGTGATGTCGTAATCGTGATTTTTAAACGCGAATATTCAGATTACATTTTCTAAACGCTCCAGTAATTACCAGCACCGGTTAGAAATTCTAAACGCACCCCTATTAAATATCGCTTCTCTGGCAACTCTGAGACGAGGTGGAACGAAGTTTGTCATAACTTTTAAATGGAAACGACCCGACTAACGACAACGTCATTTTACAATTAAAAAAGTGTTTATTATTGGATTTACATATTACGTTTATAAGCAAAAGTAGTTGCTACTCTACGATTGGATTTCGTAAATGCCACCTTTACGAATTATCATGGTATCTGGGACAGATGCAAACAGTAAATTTTACGCAGAATTTTAGTTCGGCCATTAAACACTACACTTTTCATAGTTCAAACACTAGTCGACCGGTGTAGTCTTCATAACCGCTTATAGAAGAGACGTGTACCGAAAAAACGGCGTATCCCTCGACGTAACGCCAGCACTGATCTGTTATTTAGACATTTACCGATGACGTAAATCAGTAAGAACAAAATCTTCCATATTTCCGTATTCTATAAATTTGTTTTTTTCCCGGAATATACATTGTTTACGTCGTGTTTTACCGTNTTATCCTTTGCTTCTAATGTGGCTTTATGTTGTCGATCTTACCCCGCTAGTCATGATTTCGAAACATTAAGTACAACCCTGAGAACAGAATGCCAAGCCACGATCTGGCCACGCGAATAAGTTGAAGTTACATCCTTCTAACAGGAAAAGTTTACATTGGATGATCAGGAATAAAGGATGTGATTTTGTCTTCAAGTCTTTCAAAGATAATGGTAGTCCTTGTTCTTAAATAAAATTATTATTAAAACAATTTTGGAAATTTGTAATTAAACAATTCTGTTATTAAATATATATTTATAAATATCACAAACGCTCTGTATTTCTTTATTCGAAAAGGAACTTAGAAATTCATTTAAAGAACACAATGTGCGAAGTTTCTATTTCAATTTGCAGATGCTTGCATTGGAAATGGCACAGAAGCTTTTCTCAAATCGCAGCTCATCACAAACTCAAGCAGTCGTCAAGAGTATTGTTGGTAGGTGAGACCGGGGCAAGATCGTCATGTTAAGCTTTACTTAAATTTTGTGTAATAAATACTGCTGTAAACTGAAAAAAAAGCTTTGCATATTGTCTATTGGAATGTTACCTTACTATAGAACTGGTTAAAATCAGTTTGGAAATAAAAATAATTAAAATAATTACAACTTTACAAGAAGAGAGAAATTGACGAAGTTGCCCCGGGTATAGGGGCAAGATCGGCAACTTCTCTCTTTTTGTAAAGTTGTAATTATTTTAATTATTTTTATTAAAGTTGCCCCTGGTATAGGGGCAACAGTAATGGGGCAAGATAGGCACGTATATAAAATTATGTTATTAACAATGTATAAGTTGGAATTCACTATTAAAACAAAGAAATACAAATCCAACACCCATTTAATATTATTACAACGAAATGCAAGTTCAAAGACATATATACATGAATAACAAATGCAAACATGTTTTCATTTATCATCTGTTTGATTTTTATCCTTTGCTTCTAATGTGGCTTTATGTTGCCGATCTTACCCCGCTAGTCATGATTTCGAAACATTAAGTACAACCCTGAGAACAGAATGCCAAGCCACGATCTGGCCACGTGAATAAGTTGAAGTTACATCCTTCTAACAGGAAAAGTAACTTTCGTTATCATGGAATTATAACAAAACCTGCCAATTCAATATAAAGGAAAAAAAATATTATATGGAATTGAACGAAAATGAAAATTTGCTTGATAATTCAACTACGCTTGTTGGAGAACAATAAAAACACTACACTCAACAAGCCAGCAATAAAACTCAACTGCCTAACCTATAACCAAAATCTCCTTTTAATTTGTTTTTAAAAAAAAGCGCTTGACAAACTTGCCCCGCATGCCGAAGTTGCCCCGGTCTCCCCTAGATTAAAACTCTTGACAATTGCTTAGATTTTTTGGGAATAGTCCGTTCAGATATGTCTCTGCCTCTTCGCTCGGCACCCATTGTGGACCTGGTCGAACCCATAATGGGCTTACCAAAGAAAGCGCAATAAACGAGTCTGGCCTTTGGATCTTCTGAAGAGAAAACGCACAAAACGGATGTTAAAAATACAAACGAAGAAAAAACAGATCAGAAAATTCAAGCAAAAGTGATTAGTGGTTTCATTGTTTTTTTTATTTTAATTAAAAATAAATCACAAGAGACACGGAATATTTTTGAATTGTTTCAGTTTCGTGTCATTTAATAAATTGCTGCAAAGGGATTCCAATTTTCAATTTGAAAAAAGAAAATACACAGATTATGCGTTATTTGATATATTATTTATTGAAAAAATGTTTATTTATGTTATTTTTGTTATATTTATGTTATTTAGTTACAAAGTTGTTTAATCACAAATTTTTGAAATTGCTTAAATTAATGGTCCAATTTATTACGGATGTAAATGTATATAAATACGCAAATAGCCAATATGCATTTGTATTAAATCTATATCGGTACAAGAATTGTTAGTAAATAAATATGAAGAAATTGCAGGTGATTCTTTTGGTGTATTTCATTTGTGTTAACGGTGAGTGGATTTTCTTTATTTATCTATATTTATATCTTGTAATAGCGTAATAACGAATGCTATCTCTTTTATAGAAATGTTCAACAGAGTGGAAGCATCGCAGAAAACCAGTAGCAGGCAAGGCAGTGGTGAGCAACGCCAGCGCGTGATAATAAAGAATCCTCCTATGAGATTATGTGAACCCAAAGAAGTTGTAGGAATTTGCAGGTTACAGTGCATGAGACTGAAACTGCGATTTTGTGAAAAAAAATCAATCATGTGCGATTGTCCGTAGAAAATTTAACACGCTCTTACATAATGCACTCCACCATAAACGCATTAGAAAATAGAGACGACGATTCCGATATTTGTCATAGATAAAATGCAATTATGGTTTCATGAGTACAAAAATAAAATTTAAAATCTTAACAATTTCGTTTGGTTTTGCACTTACTGCGACTTGTGGGTTATTCAATCGCCTTTGTCATTGCTTATTTGTGTTTGTTTAGTTAAGTTACGGCAACGCAACACTTGGGCGATGTAACTGCCGGGGATGTCTTCCGGGAGGTGTTTTTAAGGATAACTGGCGTTACAGATATGCCGGAAAACTCTACGTGGTCAACCTGTCCTAGCGAGGCGCACATCCACGATCGAACACCCGGTATTCAGAGAACGGAACCGCTTGGCCACTGCAGGACCTTCACCGCTTATGCGCGTAAAATGTGTAGGCATATAGAGCAACGCATTCGTTGCTCTATGAATCATCGGGTGACGGCAACGCGATCGCGATAGGTAGAGAGTCAGCAGGAGGTTTATTTTAGCGCGTATTCTACTGAATGTGACGTCTCGAATTTTGTTCGAACTGGCTTTCGAATGCAAAGAAAACCGAAATTAAAAAAATTTTTAACGTTTTAATTTTCGTAATTTGGAGTGACTCACGTCTGGAAATAATAACCATACACAACCTTCGATTTAAACTAAAATCGGTAAACATTTCCGGTTGGGATATTGTATGGTGCCCTGTCCTGGGCAATCGGTCTTTGCTATTGCGGCTGACAGAATCTAAATACGACCATTTTAGTTTGCAAAAGACGAAAACACTTTTAAAAAAATCGTAGAAAGGTACTTTTCTTTTTTAACTCTTTTCGCTCTGTGTAAAGTAAGAGGGCCTTTTTTTGCAAGCCCATTATGGATTCGGCCAGGCCCACAATGGGGCTGCTGGGTGGTGAGGGACGGGGCCCTCCATATGCACACAGACCACCCACGTAATTTATCTGGAGTTTTTTCGACCCGTTTGGTTTTCAACCCGGGTTCCCAAGGGCGGTGGACTGCCACCTTGACCGCTCGGCCATCCGACCGCCGTAAAAAGATACAGTACATGGTTACTTCTTTATTATAAATTGGTTCTTTTATATATCAAAAGAGCGGAATCATTGTTTATCGCTGAAAAAATTTTTTGTTGAAGAACACTGAAAAACGATCCAACGTGCAATTGTTGTAGAAGGCCCACCAGTGTCCAAGCAGTTTCATTCCCTGAACACTAAGAGTTCGGCCGTGTTAGCGCCTCGCTAGGACGGGCTGACCACGTGGAGTTTTTTGTATTTCTCCACATCTCTAACGCCTAAATAGGGACAATTACCCTTAAAAGACCTCTTGGATGGCATTTGCCCCGGCTCTTTGCGAGTAATTACCTATGGTCTAGCAAAAAAGCTCTTCGGAGGTTAAGTGATTACACTATAACCTCCATATTAATTCAGATAAGAGAGAGAGAGCGAATTGTAGTAGAAATCTCGTATCTGTCTCTTCTCGATGTATTTAAGAACAGTACTTCAATAATCGGAATGTTGGCCATCGATCATGCCATTCTGTCCCATCTGAAATTTGGGGCAAGGCTTTTCGTTCATGGTCAGTTTGACTTCCAGTTTGTCACCGCGGTTACTTCGTTAAGTATCGCAGAACAATCGGTGATGTTGTAATCGTGATTTTTAAACGCGACTATTCAGATTACATTTTTTAAAGGCTCCAGTAATTACCAGCAGTTACCGATAACACCGGTTAGAAATTCCAAACGCACCCCTATTAAATATCGCTTCTCTGGCAACTCTGAGACGAGGTGGAACGAAGTTTGTCATAACTTTTAAATGGAAACGACCCGACTAACGACAATGTCATTTTGCAATTAAAAAGAACGTTTGTTATTGGATTTACAAATTACGTTTATAAGCGGAAGTGGTTGCTACTCTACGGTTGGATTTCTTAAATGCCACTTTCCCGAATTATCATGGTATCCGGGACAGATGCAAATAGTAAATTTTACGCAGACTTTTACTTTGGCCATTAAACACTACACTTTTTATAGTCCAAACATTTGTCGACCGGCGTAGTCTTCATAACCGCTTATAGAAGAGACGTGTACCGAAAAACGGCGTATCCCTCGACGTAACGCCAGCACTGATCTGTTATTTAGACATTTACCGATGACGTAAATCAGTAAGAGCAAAATCTTCAATCTTTCCGTATTGTTTAAACATGTTATCTCCCGGAATATACATTGTTTACGTCGTATTTTACCGAAGTATCCGGTCAAAAGCGATCTCAAAAATGTTGGCCAATCTGACGTATAAAACGTGAGATTTAAACAAAGTTTAAAGTGAGTGAATCAGGTTTTATAAAGATAAAATTCAACACAAGTGCATTTTCGGCATAAAATATTAAATAACATTAAATAATTAATTCCATATAAAAAATATGTTTACATTCGATGTAGATTAGTGAACCGGGAATTACGGATGTAGTTTTCTCTTCAAGTCTGTCAAATATTGTCTATTTCCCAACCGAACATACCTCGATTTAACGTTACAATACAAGACTTATTTTGCTGTCAAGTAGTAATTTAAATATTGAATGAAAACTTTTCGAAATGCCACATGGAAGAGAGTTTAGTAAGGAAATTGCTGTTTTAAGATCTACTCCTATACTTCATAAAATTTTGAGAAAATCGTTACGAAAACCTTCTAAGCATCGATTAAGAAGACCCAAAATAATGTCTCGAAGGTTTGATAATTGTGTATTACAATAGGAGAAAACAGAAAACAATACAAATTGGCAATAATGTAGTGGGCTAAAGATCATACGCTATGGAATGGCCAATGGCTCTTAGTTCTTTTCAATGATAAAAAAGAAATTTAATTTGGATGGACCAGATGAATGGTCTCATTACTGGCATGTTGTTAGGATAGAGGAACATAGTTTTCTAGCAGGCAACATGGTAGTGGTTCTGTAATGGTATGGGTCTGCTTTAGATTTATAGTTTATCAAATTTAGCGATTTTAACTAGTAGACAGACATCTGAAAGTTATCGAGAAGTATTAAAAAAATAATTTATTACTTACAAGAGAAAAAATTGGAGGACCCGATTGAATTTTTCAACTGTACAATGTCAGTACTCATTGTTCACACTCAAGAATTAACTGGTTCGATGATCATAATATTTAAGTTATGAAGTGGCCAGCGAGATGCCCGGACATAAATCCGATTGGGAATCTTGTATGACAAATTTACTCTAATAACAGGCATATTACGACGGTTTTAGAGCGTAAACAAGAAATCATCGAATGCCGGTTTCGAATGGATCCAGAAATCTTTCACAAAACTAGTATTTTGTGTTTAAATCTTTGTGGTGCGACGGGATATGTTCGACTCCCGTCCCCTACCACCCGCCCGTTCCATTGTGGTCCTAGCCAAACCTATAACGGGCTTGCTAATACGACACACTTAGTGCCCAAAGGGTGGAAAGAATTTTTTAAAAAGTCGTCTATCTTTAGCATTTATTCTAATTTTAAATTAGCCTCAATATACCCTTATAAATAATACGCGAATTGCTTGGAAAAACAATTACAATCGGTTTATTATTTTCAAATCTAACGAAATTTAAAACGAGATATCTCATTAATAATTTATAATTAACGGAGTTATTATAGAAAAACATTTGTGTAATTTAAGTATATCGGCAATTAAAGCTTCCATATTTGATAAACTATACGCTTATTTACAAATAATTTGAATGTTTACGTGTAAAATAAAAATATAAATAGGACGAGATCGATTATCAATTTTAATAGTCAGGTTACCGTTTTAACCGATATGGATAAAAGGAAGATCCTATTCTTGATCTGTTTGCTTTACATCAATAGTAAGTACTGTACCATTGTAAGACGTAAAGGGTCCATTTTATAAACTAATATACCGCTTTTTCTCTTAGGCATCTCCCGTATAATTGGGATTCGAACCTGCACTTTTCCGGAAATGATAGGAGATTGCGGATTTTTTTGCTTTACGATTTCTGTACCGTTATGTCTAAAAAGTCCACTCTGTCTCTGTGGCAGATTTACGAAGAGATAGGAACATTACACGAGTATATTCAAAAATAATGCATTTCTTACGAGTATGAGTGTAAATAAATCTATAAATTCGTCAATAAAATAAACTATTATTGTCACTAATTCTCATTGCATGGTGTTATTCGGGAGAGTGCCACACTCGATTTACTGTTAACTTCAAAGGACAACAAATATGGGGCTAAATAAACGTTCGACTTGCTTAATATCTGAATACTGTTTAATATCGCGATAACAATAAATCAAGTATTTAATGTAAATGTCATGCATGCCTGTAAATATAAGTGAAAAAGAATTAATAAAAGAAAATATTCTATAAAAACAATTTATTTAAAAATTAAACTGCTTACATCCGTATAAAACTATAGCAACAAGATATAAAAGTAAACTCTAAATTAAATTACAAAAGAAACGATAAAACTTGAGTACAGAATTGTAAGAAGAGGAATTTCTAGTGAAAGAGAAATTTAAAAATATTTTATTGCTTTTTACGTCTTTCTTGGTCTTAGTCTCGGAGTCGTATTTGCAGTATAACTGGGGCAGATACAAGGCGGCACTTTTAAGCATAAATGTACTTTAGCCATTATGCAATATACGCGACAAATGCCATTTACTTCTCTAGGAGTACACATCGGATGAGAAGTTACCAAAGAAATTCCTATAAATGCACAATTAAATTACGCATTTTATTTTATATAATTCGTAATTCTTATTACCTACGCTACAAAGGTACTTACCACTGACGTAAATCAGACAGATCAACAGTAGGATCTTGGTTTTTTCCATGTCAGTTACGCAAATTAGTTGGAGAAAACGAATGGAATAAATGTGGTTCTGGCACGCTATTTATATAAATTTATCATCCTATAACATGAAGCTTGATTCCGATATAATAGGTAGGGGATTTAATACTTCAAGATTTAATTGCACAGTTTGAAATTGTACAAAGTAGGCCAACAGCTGATATATTATTAGATACGACTAATTATTAACGAGTTTCTTAATTGTATCGAAACAATTGAGGGAGGAAAACAGACAGAAAATAAAAATATGTCGACTAAAGTGTAATATTTATAAAGGATTACAACTACTTTTGGGGAATTTCTGATCAAAATTCTGGCAGGCGAAGGTGTCGATAGATACGAAACACTACAATCTTCCATGATAAATCTTAATTGTATTTTTACAATTAAAGATTTATCATCTTTATTCAATTGTTTTTGTTACTAAAAAATTCTGATCTTATCGAGAGAAAATATCTCCATTTAACTATAATGCTTACATTATAATGGTTTTAAAGAATAAAAGTAATTAATTAAAATAGTTTTTAAAGACTATTCCATTGTTCTCTTTAACTGCTCCAGTTATAGAAGTAAGGGTGTCTTCGGTCACAAGGAAGGATCTCTCACCACTACCCCGTTGTAAACATATGTACAATGAAAACTATTTTGTAAGTATTTAGATCATTACACTTGATTGTTGTTTAGTGTATAATTCGATTAAAAACTTGCTGGAAGTTGCGCATCTACGTAGGTCCTGCGTAATGTTATAAGAGTACTCTGTTCTTTTTATAACAAGCTACACAGAAAATCGTAATTTTAGTTGAATTTGGATACAGGACCAGGAATTTCAATGGCAAATAGTGAAAATCTGCTAAAAAGTTACTATATTTATTTGAACATCTCTTCCCCGGCGATCTCACCACCACTCCTTGCTGTATTTGCGTGAGCGTACCAGCAAGTTCTACCGACTTCAGTGTAACACCAGTTTGTACTAGACTTTATGCACATACCCATAATGGTCACACTAATAAATTAAAGTGCGATGCACTACAGGTATAGTATGGTTATACCGCCCCAGATACTGAATGCTATCAACTTTTTATTGTAAGTTAAAATCACAAGAAGACGTTTGTGGACAGCTCTTGGTGCTACTAAATATGCCATCCCAGAGCAGGACACCATAAAAACCTTTACAACCTATAAAAACCTATATGTAAATGTAGATCAGAGAAATAAAAATAAAGAACCTCATTATTTTTCATATCGGTTTTAAGTAACACGAGACTGCCAACACGTTACTTTATCTCGGTGTACTTATACCATTCTCTTGTACTAAAATATCGGAATTAATTCTTAAATAACAGAGGAATAACTTACCGTTAAGTTTGAAATACCATATAAAAGTTTATTAGGAAATATTTGGGTAAATGTACCGTTTCAAATTTGAGTGCGAAGATTAAATTATTGTAGAAATGATGTTTGCTACAAGTATCGGTATGGCCTAAATGTGAAAATGCCAAAGGTGCTGTACGGTACATTGCCTTCTAATATTGTAGACCAGACCGATGTAAAGGGTTTAATCTATCATTAAAATCAAATTGCTCACGAGAAATAAATTATTTGTTTTGCAACAAATCTTTGGATTTGAATTTTTAAATTGTAAAAGTAAATTCCCACTGGCTTAAATCTTACTTCTGTCCTTTCTTAATCTCGAGATCGAAGTTAGATACATCAAAGTCCAGACCAGATAGGCCAAAAGCCCAATTATCTGAGAATGCGATAAGTTAGAGAAAACGAATGGAAATAAATGTGGTTCTGGCACGCTATTTATATAAATCTCTCATCCTATAACACGAAGCTTAATTCCGAAATAATACGTAAAGAATTTAATATATGAAGATTTAATTGCAGAGTTTAAAATTATAGAATGCAGGCCAGCAGTTGATATAGTATTGGATACTACTAATGGAAAATAACATTATTAATTAAATATTATTACGATGAAATTTAGATTTTTATTAAGTGTAAGAATGTTTCGTGTTATAAAACTGTAGCTCCACAAGGCTAACATTTATGATGTGATCTATATATTTAAATGAGGATATTTGTTTGTTTGTTTATTCTCTATACATGCCAAGACCATTCGACCAATTGCAACCAAAGTCGGCAGTTATGTTTAATTTCTCCTAGCATAGATCATGTTGTATAAACCACCCGAAATTATGGATTGGATTTTTTTAAATCGATTAATTTCTCGCTGTATTCGATTGATGGCTTTACATGTAGCGCTATCTATTGGCATAAAATTTAAGAAAATAATTAACTAAATAAAATTCTTACAGAAAAAAATAAAATTAAAAAATATATATATATATATATTATATTCACTGAATTACTTTAAAAATGATATAGAGCGAAATAGAGTAGTAGACTTTTGCTCCTGTACAGTACATCGTAAGTTTCCTGTTAACGATAGAATGGTGCCTGTTATGTATCGAACCCCGTTCAGAGAAAAACTTTGGAATTGAAATAACGTGACTTATGGTACAAATCGGAAGTTAATATATACAGTAGTTAGTCTTGTGCTCTTTCTCTTACCATTGCCATATCTACAGTTTTCTAATCAGACAAGATATTCACTGTTTTATTAACACTTAACATTTTAACAATAATAATGCCTATACTCGTACATACATAATTATACTAAAAGTAAAATTGTTGTTTCCCATTACAGAAAGTGAGTTTAAAGTAATTGAAGCGTGTATTACAATTTTACGATGATACGTGGATCTTGTACAGTACATTTTACTTTTCGAATGGCGCAAAGTTTAGGTACAGTTTTTTTCCGCTGATGAACAAATAAGAACCATATAATCGCATTCGTTTCATACTCCACATTCCTACAAATGGGACTCCTAGTTATGAGTCAGAAATGTCATTCTCCTGTGTTTAATATTATTTAATTAATGCTTATAAACGAATCGCTTTAAAGTATATTAAACAGTTTTGTTAACTCTTCTGCCCAATATTTCATCAGTTCCAGTCGAGATGGCTGTGAATTTCTGCCAACTTCTTCGTGCTATGAAAACATATAATTTTCACCTTTGTTTTTCAATTGTCTCGAATAGTTATATTCTATAACTGAGCATTGTTCTTCGTGTGTGAAATTAAAAGAGATTCTAAATACACGAAACAATTACGTTGCCGTAAATCACAAGAACACTCCTGTTTCTTCTTTCACAGTAAAATGCATCAATTATTTTTGGTTAAAGAACTTTCTTACAATCAACTTAACGTTTGAATTTCGTTGCAGTAAATCGAAGCCGCTAAAAATCGATTCCAGCCTCAACTGTCTCGAGATACGGGCATTGAATACGATGACGTAAAGTCACTATAGATTTGACAATATAAACGACACATCTAATTTCAAAATCTCCAATATGAATTGAGATTAACAAGAAGCATCGAACAGAATTTTTCGTTTACGAAGTCAAAAATATCAGTGAAATATTCGGTGGGATACGAACTAATGTAGGATAGGTTTACTTCTTATTATCAAAAATGCAATTAATTGTGTGATAAACTCCAGAATATACTGAAAGAAAATACACTTTTTTTAAATAGAAAACTGCTATGTAACTTTAGAGACTTTTTTTTTTATAGAAAACTGCTATATACTATTGTTTATTCATTGTTTGATAGAAAACTGCTTATATACAAGCAGTTTTCTATAAAACAATAAATAAACAATAGTAGAAACAATGAACCTTAGTATATAAGACAGTAAACTTACACTTAAAACCGCTTGCTTCTCGAAGAAAAAGAAATTGTTGCTTCTGAATCCCACTTCGGCTCTTGATATGGACATTAATACTTCCTCCTGAAAACAAAGAAAACAAATTTCATTGTACTGTCGTTACGCGAGTTTTCCTTTGAAATGTAAAAAAATTAAGACATATTTTCATTGAAATACAGATAAAAAATTCAATTTGTAAATTAGATAAGAATATTTACGATTTTGTTATTGTCATCGTCAAGGAAATAAATGTCCATTATGCAAGTAAAAAACCGTTCCATCTGAAATGCATTAATTATATAATTGTCGTTAAACTATTCATATGATTAGAAGACATACAATTTACAGAATTTCTGTAAATTAAAAGTAACTTACGTTCGAAGGAATTCTTGTCAAGTAAAGAAAATATATTAGGATAACAGTGCCCATCCAAAATATTGAAAAGCATATCAACAGAGATTCGATTGTAATCGATACGTAAAGTACCATATATATAATTGCAATGCTGATTATGGGAACGAAAACTGTTATGAACAACGAATGAATAGTTTTGAATATTTTATCGATATTTTTAATAAAATATACAATCGAAGACAGTTCCAGTAGCGATGTCTTGCTATTAACTTCTTTCCTTTGTATTTTTTCCTTTATGTCAATAATAAATGTGTCTAACAATTGAATAGAGATGTAAGTAAGAATCCAAATGAATCCTGCGCTATAAAAAATGACGCTGACGTTGGTGAGAACACCGAATAAAATATGAAAGGTACAGAAACTTTCTTGCCACAGTAATTTTGAGTATCCGTAAGCGTTCCTGTAATATACATACAAAGTGCCAAATAACAAACACACAAATACTTGGACGAAGCTAAAATACATTACAACCAAGTCTTGATAATGCAGTAATTTTTGTTGAATTCTCTTTACGCATTTGACATTTTCATCCAGAATTTTGATCGTCTTTATTATGTGAAATGCATTTGAATTATACAGGTAAAGAAATAACGGAGATATTAAAAGTGCAATGAATACTGCGAAGCGTGAATGGGTTCCGTAGATATCCCATAAAACGGGAATGCCACAGAAATCATCAATATGCGAATTTATAAAAATCTTTGATAATTGTTCCGGATAAATGACGAAAATGAAAATTATTGTTATAAAGTATGTATTAAATAGAAGCGCTTTAACCCATAAATAATCCTGGCGCTTGGGTATAAATACACCAACGAGGCGTAAAACGTTCAGATAAGGACGAATTGCATTCAAAATAAAATATTCCATGAAGAATTAATACTGAATGGTAGCCTCAAAAGAATAAAATTAGAACTTCTCTTTGTTTCCTCGATGTTCTACGTGTCTATTATCCACTCGAAGTTAATACATATTCCCTTGCTTCCTCTTTATTTTCATTAGCTAAGATAAAAATATGCGAATATTGATTGACATAATGGAAATTTTATGGTAATGTAATTTCAAAATCTATTAACTTATTGCTTTATAGAGACACAATAAAGTAACTTTTTTCAAACACTTGGCAGATTATTCATCTCTTTATTCAGTTGGCTAACAGTCTGTCTATCTCATTTTGTATCTTTTCTCTGTATTTTCTGTCTTGATATTGAACTGTACACATATTTTCTTTTTTCGATGCTAACTGCCGTATCTATTCAAATAATTTCATTTGATTTTGTAAACTACAACACGGTTTCATCAGAATCGAATCCATTAAGTCATATTTATCATTTTGGACAGTAAATTTTAAACCATTTAAAGAATGTGAATGACTAAAAGCATGTAATAATTAATGGGCTGTAGAAGTAGTGCATTATAGTTATTGCTATAGACCATCATTATCAAAATCGATATTATTCTCAGCAATTTTCTAAAAGCAGTATTAGGATCACGCCATCTCTCCGCATTGCAAACTGATTATTTTTTTATAAATATAATTACAAAAAACGGATGAAACGTTCGATGTTGAAAGGAAGTTGATTTCCTTTCTCAGGCCCACTCATGATGAGTCGCTTGAGTTGTATACACGTTACTAGAGAGCAAATAAAAGGGACGTTTCCCCCCATTCGGGGCAGTCCGTCGAAAAAAGGTTGCCTTAAGATAAAGACAGTCGTCATACAAAGTGTACGTCATACAAGGTATAAGCCCGTTATACGAATCAGTTAAATGAAAGTTATTAATATATAACAATAAACTGTTAGAAGAAAAATACCCACAGTTAAAGAGGACCCTCATTCAGATAAATATTCGAAAGACCTGGTGAAGGTAATACGATTACGGATAGATTGATGTAAATTCTCTCTCACGCGTCAGGTTTAGAATAAGTTTAGGTTAAGTCGTAGTTTAGGTTTAGGTTTAGGTTCATTGTTTTGTATACTTTTATATTTTGATTTATTAAATGTTTTGTTTATCATATAAAAATAGTTTAATTAATATTGGTTATTCATATTCATTTGTATTTAGATTTCCTTAACCTGTAAACTCTATTACTAAAGCCTCATATATTGTAATTTTTACAAACAAAAAGTATTTAAAGACCTTTTCTAATCAATAAACAAATCTAAAAGCAAAAATATGGCAAACAGTCCTCCGAGGAGAAAGGAGGCTCCTTCTACCCTCGAGTTCCACAAAAGCAATCGGATAATAAATACACTTTTTCTTATAAATTGACTTTTTATTATAAATTACAAATTAACTTTTTATTGCCACTCGACAAAGAAGACCACATTTTTCGATAAATTCAAGGCCTTTCTGGACGTCAAAAGTCAAGCATTAATCGAACACGAAGTTTTTCTGAGTCCTCTAAACATTGGATCTGTCTATCGAAGAGGCATTTGGACGAAGAGATGATTTTTCCGTTCTTGCAAAAGTGTAAAAAGAATTAACTCGAAAGGGCTTTAATGACATTAAATTGTAGGCAGAAAAGAAAAGTATTGTCGTATTAACGATTTAATTTTATACACAACCGATTAATTCAGTTTGTTATAGACTATTTAAATTGAAGAAAGGGAGTTTCATTTCTGGTGTGATAATGACATACAGTACAAAATTACATCCGCTATGGTAAACATCATTACCTAAAATGCTTTTAATATCATATTAAAATATTTTTAACTTTATAAAGTGTAATTTTAGCATTTGCTCTTATATAAAGAAGTGTAAACGTATGGATTTCTTTTATTGTTTACTAAACGAAGTGTACTGTAGTGTACTCTACAATACAGGCAGTTTTATCAATTCGGTGAATGTAACAGAGAAAGTATGGAGATCGATCAAAAAATAACCCTCCGAGATTTTTACATTTTTAGACTCGGAGCATCTCGAAACGTCGAGAAATGCCAAACAATGAAGTTTTTTCCCCCTGTATGTTTAATGCCTTAACAACTCTAATGTCTTTTGTCGACAATTTCTGCAATTTTGCAGAGAGATTTGTATATATTAGAAGGATCGATGCTGTTAAATTTTAGTGGTTAAAGTTCGAAGGGCTTGGAAAGATAGAGTCGTGTGTGTATCTCGAGGGGAGTCGGACTTGACGAAGATTTTACTCGTTATTCGCATTGGAAAATTAAAAAGAACAAAAATAATAAAACTCGTCGCTACCCTCGAAATTAAGCTTTTTGTCATTTTATAATAATTAATAATATAAAAAGTTTTTAAGCAAAATACGCCACACTCAGTTTTAACTGTTGCCGGAAAGTTACGCAACTTGTTACTAAATTTTTTTAAAAATACAATTTTAAAAAAATGCATTTTTGAGGAGACAAAGAGAGCAACTGTTATTCGAATCTCACTTTTAAAAGTTCACGTTAGTCACTTACCTAAGTCACATGGGTATGAAAAATCAAATGAATAATCTTTGCTTAAATGTGTGACTAAATGATAAATATTCGTCATTTCGCAACATCAATCATGAAATTTATACTTCACATCTTCTTTCTAGTGACTTCTGACCTTTCTGAAAGGTCAGAAGTCACTAGAAGCATCGTTTTCCTGTCATCAGACAGGAAAACGATGCTATTCAAATTGTGGCCCCCAAAACCAGCGTTGTGTATTTTAAGATAAACAATGTGTCATTCTTTGACGCATCTTTACCAGTGACGTCGGTACTAACCAATTGCTTTAAATAGAGGAAGCGCTACCATTTCTGGTCAAAATAACAATAGAAGAAAGAGGAAAAACCTGAAGATCGAAAAATCGCCGAAATGATGAGTGAAGAAAGTGATACCGCATTCCTTACAGCGCACTCGATGTTATTAAGTGACGACGATGAAAGTTGTAAGTAATAGTATCAAATAATAATTTATTTTGTACAAAACTTGTTCGTATGCCAGTGATCGAACGATCGATCACCATGTGTACTTTACTTGGCTGGATCGATCTTCCGTTCACTTATATCTAGTTATAACAAATCGTTTATGATCGATTTAATTCTTATTCGTACTCGTTCTCTTTGTTTCTTTTTATTGTATAAGGGTCAATACATTTTTGTCAAGCTTTTGAATGGGGAATAGCTGGGAAGTTGGTAGAAAAACTCTGACAGCATAAAATGCGAGAAAATTATTTATTAACATTGATATTGCACAATGATTTTATTAAATACCTTTAATAAGCAGAATTTAATTTTATAATTATTCCTGTTATATGCCTTTGTACGACGTTTTCTCTTTGTTAATAATTTGTTTTGTTATAGTGTACTAGTGACATTTTCTATTAGTCAGTTTATCGACATTTATTGCAATTAAGGACGATGATTTTTCCGATTGTGATTTACTTCCTATCTCTGTCTTACTTTCTCTTATCATACTGAATATCTTTTACTTTTGCTACACAGCAATACAGGGAAAGTATTGCAATGCTGTGTGGAAAAATCATCTATTTTACAATTTCAGTTTAGATTAGAAGTTATATATAAAGCAAAACAAATCGAAAAAACTAATGACAAAGACAGTCGTACAGTATCTCATACTTCAAACATTCCAGAGTTTGAACGATATATTTTTTATATTTAAATGTATACTTTTATATAATTAATGTATGATTTTCGGCATACTAAATGTTCGAACCACATT